TCATTCGTATGGTTGGTGGCGGTGCTGGGATACAAGCGCAGAACCTCCGCGGTGATGGGATGACGGCAAACTACGAGCCTGGAATGCCGCCCAACACCCAACACAAGTGAAGTTTTGCAAATCAGTAGATTCTACTTTTCTGATCCCTCAAAATTATTTGTTTTATCATTTTATCGTATTCATTATCATTTGAGTTTGATTCAAGCATCCCCTAATCCAAGCAAGCGACTGGAGCCGATTTTCTCTTTTCCTCTTCCATCTCACCACACAACATACAGACTGTGCTAGTTCCGTTCAAGAATTTGGATTGAAATATTCAAGCATTGAGTTATAATCTGTATAGGCAACAATTCTTTAAAAGAACACAGAACAAACAGATTCAGGCTGATATCGTAGAACTCGTGGTGAAACCATGCAAACGGCTAATTGTGCTGCAAATCTTCGGTGAAACCAAACCGAAACAGTACGGTGATCTTTCATGGAATCCAAAGCGTGCTTCCTCGAAAGAGATGAAAAGAAAAAGAGAAGACAATTTGAACCGGAGCGTCCGTCTGTTCTCTGCCCCGACTAATGCACTGAAAGCGAAATTGGCAAGGTCATTGTTATTTCTGACAAACAGTTCAGAGGATGAATCAATCGATTCGGCTGGACCTGATGCGTTCCGATGATTAGTGTGAGAAGAAAGGAATTGATGGACCCAAGTTAGCACGCTATTGATTTATTGAATTTCAGTTCGACATTCCACGTGGCGCAAACCATAACTCAGGGCAGCTATAAACCTCCCCGTACTAAAGGTAGCGTACGCACTGGGAATAAGCTGTGAAGAGGGTTGTGTCCCCTCAGGGAGAAAATTGGCACTGGAATCTTTTCGGTACATGCACGCTGTCTCCGACTATCTTGCGCGACAGAAAAGTATAGCATTTCAGAACAGTACAAGCATTGAGTGACAGAGTGTTTATGGTCACTTAGTTATCCGAATAAGGATTCATTACCCATACATGGAATATACACATGAGAGATAAGCAAGTTGTTAATTGAATCAAACCATTTACTTATGGAATACGCAAGTACTTACTTCACAAATTCTTTGTATTGTCTAAAAAGGGTATCTCATGCGAGCGATTTGTTATGGCCTAGAAAATGGGGTGGATCTACTGCAAGTACAGGGGGAAATCCAAATGTCCTGGGCTATAATAATTTCTTCCCGTCCCGTATAAATTAGAAAGACCTACCTACAGCACAGCGTAACTGTTCTAGTTTGTGCCCACCAAAACCATATTGATTCATCGTGTGTGTATAAAGGATCAGAATAGAATCTAGACACGATATGGATCGATGGTTACAAAAGGCAAACAACCTGACATGCGAAGAGCCACGTGACAACCAACGATGGGCAGGAGGTAGCACTGTATGATCTTGACTGTATGCATGAACGCTTGTGACAGATTACATATAAGACAGAAGGTGGAACAACTGATAAAGTATGCACAAAGACAAACACTACCGTGCGTCGGATTAGAATCGATGTAGCCAAAGGTAGTGCAAAGTGGATAGATAGAACAACTGTGGTTTCGATTCGAGTGTAGTGCATTTCATTTGGGGGTACTTAACTAACTAGTGAGGAATGATTCATCATACTGAAGTTAACGAAAACAGAATGTCAGACGAGATTAAAAGAGCGCATTATCCCCGATCGCAACAGTCACAAATAAAACTGTTCTTGCACAACCGTGACGTCATTCTCAGGAGTGTGACGGGACAAACTCAGATGATGGTACCGGCACTGCAAATATATGGGGGTTTATTGTCTTTCGTCGATGAAAAATCACACTCACTGCTCACTTTGTGTACAGATTCTTTCTCAAGTTGTACAGTTTACATGACATCAATCAACAAGCAGTATACAATGCAATGATGCTTATGCACGGTCATCATCGTGCAGCGAGAGATACAGTGAAGCAAACTTCACTGATCGCTGCTGCTGATTATGCACGAAACGGACGATGGGGAGGGGGTTATAGAAGTGTAGCAGTAATAGAACACCGAAGCACATCTCGACGGGAAGCGTTGAAGTGTGTAGAAAATGTCAGCATAATATGTCAAGTGGGCATTTCATGAAAGCAAATCTCGCTGTATTAATTCGCTGATGATTTTGCTATGGTTCACCCATGATGGACGCGGCTAAATCCTATCTGATTAGTTCACGCAACAAAACAGACGATCATCTTTCCTTGTCTGCTAGGGCAATATAAAAAATGTAGGCTGGATAAATATACACTGATGCCTGGGAACGTAGCACACGAAACAAGGTGTTAAAATATGCTTGAACTTTAAAGAGGAAAATAAGATAGATCAACTCTACTGATCGAGTGAAATTTCCCAATTAACCATTCTCCGTTCATCACGAATGCCTCAGTGACCGAAATTACAATGGAAGTTTATTTTCATATCCGAATTAAAGCAGAATCCGCAATGATACTTGCTGTGGATGGTACTAACATTCCAGGTTCGACGAGACTCCCTAAAATGAAACAATCTAAGTTAGGTTAATACGCGATTTTCCGTTATTCGATCTGAACAACCATTAGTGTGACATTTTCGGGCACTTTCTGACGACTAACCATTGCACCGACCCGTGCGAAAGGACTAGAGGGAATGATTAATGAAGGATGAGGGTATAAACGGCGGTGGTCAAGCAGCTTAATTCATTTTAAAAGTGACCCGATGATCATGCTAGTGCATCTCGTAACCACCGCNCGGTTACCGCAATTCTCCATATCAACCTTTGATTGACCGGGACATCCGGAAATTGGACTGCGTGATTATGTGTGCAATGAATAAAGAAGGAAGCGGACACACTGGATGTGAATCAGACTTGCGTATAAAATGAGTGCATGCACCGGTAACACTATTTACACAGCTCAGCTTACTCATTCCATCTTTCTAAGCTCTGATTGGGTCAGCTAGGAGATCTCTATTCAGAAAGCCTGAATCATCCTATATGAAACTACATGAAGACCGGGAGGAAGAAAGAACAAACTAATCATTAGGTAAAACAATGTGAAAAGTTCCGAGTCATTATCGCTGATGACAAAACGATCAGTAAAGAACGTGGATGAAATAAAGACTAGTATTAGAAACTGCGGCTAACGATTCAGAGGTGCAACAGCGAAACAGAACAAAAGAGCCTGCAATAAAAACATCTGATACTTCTGTTGCGTGAACAGGGAAATTTTCAGTCTAGAATGAACACGAAAAATGGGTATAATGGATAAAACTTACAGTAAACCAGATCCAGTGGAACAATTGTATCGCGACCGGGCTCGAAGTTTATACTCATCTACCACAGTCTTGTTGATATTTGTTTGAATGGATAACCGATCTGGAGTGTTGGATACCAAGTAGTAGAGCGTGGCATTGATGTGTTTTCCGTTCAAGACGCCTGGAGCGAACGAATGGCTCAATGTGACACCAGAGAACCATAACTGAAAGATGTGTTGGGAAAAACAGTTTCCATGGGAATGAAAGGTCAAGTGAATAGGATCGCTGAAGTAGGTGAGAGAAAACAAACGATAGCATAGTCCACGGTACTTAATTAGCTGATTGATGCAGGGTGAAACTACCTCTGATATATTATCCTGGCTGTAAATGATGTGTATCAATAGAATGAAAATTAAGAACACTGGCTCGAAGAACAGAAAAAAAACATTCGGATGCAGTGAAGAAAAACTATGAAGCGGGATAACGGACAATGCCAAAATTGTATTGTGTTAAACAGAGTGTAGACAGTTCGTGCTTGCGTGGATGCGTAAAATGAGAATACTTTGTAAGATGCTTCAACTGTGGTTGTGGCTCACAAAGGACGATTACAACATTATGAGTTGGTTTAGACGAGGTGGGAGTGAAGCGAAAACCACGGGTTGCAAGATAATAATCCTTATTCTCTCGTTTTTTCTCTCTCACACTCAAATGAAATGAACAGCGAATGGGACGAAACCCACAGCCATAAATAAACACTGCTGCTGGGTGATGGAAACTGTTAATCTCAAGCTTTGGACCTGCGTGGAGCGACCAATGTATTGAATACTGTACGACACACCTGCTGGTTTAATGAGCGTGCGTGCGCGCGTGAGTAACGTGAAATCTGAGGGCTAAAGACGAGTTCATTTTCTTTTCATCCAGAACAACTATGAAAATGAATGAAGTGCTACGCGAAAGTGATTCATGAATGTGACACTTGGATTGAGCAAGAGGAAACGCGCAATCACTAGTCGCGATCACCGTCGTAACCGACAAACGCCGGAGTCACAGTCATCCAAGAGCGAAATTAGTAGACAGATGATCATTACACGAGGACAATCTTGGTTTTCACAACATATTCAGAAACGTTGTTCACGTCCACAGGCTAGTGCGCACCCATTGGAATACGATAAACCCAACACGCGATCTCAATAAGTTCCGATTTCCATGTTACAGAGATAACAAAGCGCCAGTGTGCAATAAAGGTATTCACAATGTTATTTCTTCTCGTGTGAACTGGAAGTGGTGATTTAGGAGCTTGGTCAGTATCAATTTCACTCTATTGTACAATGCACTACATCCTGTTAATCAATGGGTTTACTTTTGTATACTGCATCAATTTTGGAAGGTGTTTGGTACGCTATTTGGAACTGCGATATATGTATACAATCACTACTACTTCTTGGCTACCAAATATTTTACTAACGATCCGATTGCCCAACAAAAAGCAAAACTGCGAAGATAACAGTGCATAAAGACTGATAGCACTTATATAGCCTCACGTGTTCGCACTGAAAAAGCGCGCTGTTGATCGAATTTACGTGGGATACACTAAATCCATAAAGAACGGATCGATTTGAGGTAGATATCAATAGACGACGAGAACCGGTTAGCAGTAACCCAGATCAGTATATGCGAGGGCAGATCAAAACGTTTCCGGATACGCAGTACACATACGGGGTGCAGATGGCCGGGCAAGTAAAACGTGAATTGTAATCTATCATGCATATTGTTCAGTGATTTCAACTCACCGAACAAATATCAACAACCAAGCTTAGCTCACAAGTCATGAGGGTCGCTCTACCCGGACCGTAAGGATGGAACTCAGTCGATGTCGCCGGAAAGCGATGATTTTCTACAACTACAAATGCGGTTTAAAACAGCAGCAGATGACGCGCCCGTAGAAAGCAATGTGTTCCCAAATGTTGGCAAAAAATGCAAATCGGTTCTCATAGCTCGGGTGAACTGAATTCCATTTCGCCTGTTCGCCGAGCTTGGCAATTTGTTTGCAAACGTTTCATCACCAGCCGAGGTGACATCGTGCTGCCAAATGGCAGGTACATGATGCCTAGAATCCGAGACGAATCAACAAAAGCTGCAATGGCAGCCCTTATTGAACTGGTCGAAAGGTTACCCGCTTCCCCACGGTCGAGCTGTATCTCACCAAAAGGTTTGAGACCAGAGAACTGTGCATGAACGCCGGTGGTGAATACTTCGAGAAAATATAATGCCTATTTTTGTGTGACAAGTTGAGTTTTGCGCATCCGGAAACTTTTGGATCAGCCCTCGTACGCCATGATCATCATCGTACAGCGAGATCCAGGATGCGGGCGGCTACTCCCTTGGCTACGATACCGTCATTTATCATGCCACTACCTAAGTAGGTGAAATATTCCACCACAGCTAATTTTTGACCATCAAGCATCAGCGCCGGGGTAAACGACACTCAATCTTGTAGCCTAACTTTGCACTTTGAACGTGCAAAGCACATACCGAATGAAGTTACAGAGCAGTGAATACGACCAGACGGATCGGCGATAAGCTAGTCCGGTGGGACAGGTTACAAAAGATGCCAGAGCAATCGTTTGTGTGCACCGCTTTCATCAACATAAAGATGCTAGTGTCAATTTTCAGTTTAATCGATAGTTTTGTGTGGCGGAATTCAAGGTCAGGTAAATGAACACGGGATGTTTTAACGGCTGTGCATATAAGACACCACGCATAGCAGCATCCTGAAGGGGGAGTCGTAACAACCGGCACTAGTACACTCACAAAATCACTCTACCGAAAAAAGGATCTTGCTATTGTGTACTACGAGTATGGAATATATAGAATTGCAGATTGTTGTTTGTTCGAAGTACAAGGCTAAGTTCTGTTACAAAATGAGCGAAAGGAAACATTGCTTTTCCGTCGACGATAACGTCAAGATTGAATACAGTGGGAATGGAACATTGACAAGTGAAAATACCCAGACCATAACAGGTAAAACAACTGCACTTAGAACACCTTCAGGATGGTCCAATTTTATGCGGCGTGGACTCTATCACGACGGACCATATTTCTGTCAGGAAGCCGACATACCTCCTGGAAGTTTGTTTGATTTAAGACAAAAAATCAGAGCAGGACGAACTCAGGTGATTGGTCGGAATCGACAAGCAACAAAGACGATTGACAACAAAATTCGGTCAACGGATCATTCTATGCATGCATTCCCATGTTTTCCTTATTTTTTATAAATAATCATACTTTTTCCACAGTAAATGAATGCCCTCACGCCTCTAGCTGTGTTCGATTACATGACCTGTGGAATTGGTATTCGAACGAGAAACCTTTTAGTAAGACGATCATTTGGAAATGCAATATGGGAACAATGCTATACGGTTGGAATATACTCGACTTCATATTCATACAAACCTCAGCTCATTGGATAAACCATGCTGGAAACGAACTAGACTTGCGTTCCATCTTAGTTAGACGTCGTCCGTGATACCTATTCACTGGTCTGTCCAAGATTTAAACCCCTTGGTTTTTCGCATAGAAACGTGCGCGTTGTCAGTGTAGAAAACAGTGCATACAGAGGTTGATCAGAATTATAACAATAACATGTTTAGATATCGCCTTCAATGAAAATCAATCAGGTTTGGCCTGCGAGAAAGTTGGAGACAGTTAAACGTCTGTTAAAACTATTCACGTCTCCCAATCAGGTACCTGGATAAATAATCCAGGTTAAACCAGGTTTAGATTGTCCACTTTGAATCAAAGTAAGAAATGAGAAATGTTCTTCAGTTTAGTTGACGCAGGTCAGAAACGAGACAATCGACAAACCATGAGGCGCAGTAGGGAGGGGACAAATCGCATCCGGTTTAAAAGATGGGACTATCGTTTCTATGGCGATCTAAACACGGATAAGAAGTCTAATTATTCATGCCTTGGAAGGGTTCACTTGGAAGTGGTAGCTTGACAATACGATAGTGCTCTAGTGAAAGATAACGAGAGATTTGCCGTCAATTACTTCGCGTAATATCAAGACAAACATGTGATTAGACTGGGGCTTATATGGAGAGAAAATAAGCATACATTTTATTCGTGGAGGTGAAATACAGGTATTTCGGAACACACTGAACAGAGGATTGAAAACTAAATAACGAATTGTTCTGTCCGACTTTCAAGTATTATTTTCATACGGTTGTATTGAAAAATATAGTTTAGAGCGTAATTCGAACCCATGCACGGACGTTGCCGAAGCCTTCATAGAATAATGGATCCCTGTTCACTTTTTATGCTTCATTTTGATGACAGATTCATTTTATAACAAGTCATCGCTCATAGACCAGTTCGGAAGTGATATTTGACTAACCATATGTAACATTAAAAACGTGGTCAAAAGTCCTAAATCGTCAAACACAACAGAGAATTCGATGAAGAACGGAAGAACAACGGATTATTTTCCATACAGATCGAACTGAACCGACATCGTTTGAAAATCCGCTGAATCAGATAGATTCTATGTGCATTTCAGTGGGAAACGCCAAAAACCAGGAACGACTGATAGTTTTTTTATTGCTTGCAATGAAACTAGTGATAAGGGGAAAACTAGATCAAGTCACAATCCGCTCTGTTTCTGAATAGCACAAGCAATCCTTCATTCTAATGCGACAGAAGATTAAAGAACCTTCCAATGTGCCCAATAAGCAATCATATTTTCTCAAAGTTTAAAATCACACGTTCAGGACTGTTTGAACCCTAACCTGAAACCGAAAACCAGCATACACGTTCAAGATTTTGTCAATTTACTTATTCGCTACGTCCAGACTTACCTCCAAGAACCATGTTCTAATGGTGCCAGGCACACATAAAAAACTGTACGTATTGCTTATCGCTGGGCTGATTAACAGTGAGC